CAACTAAGCTGTTGAAGGAAGTTTTTCCATTAATTAGCACTTATTTATTAAATATTATGAATATGTCTTTATTATCAGGCTATGTTCCACAATCATTCAAAGTAGCAGTGATAAAACCGCTTCTTAAAAAGCACAACCTCGATCCAGAGGTTTTAGCCAATTATAGACCTATTTCCAATCTTCCGTTCCTCTCAAAAATTCTTGAGAAAGCGGTCGCAAAACAGTTGTGTGATTACTTAAAAAACAATGATTTATTTGAAGCTTTTCAGTCTGGCTTTAGAACACATCATAGCACAGAGACAGCTCTGGTTAAATTCACAAATGACATTCTAATAGCCTCTGACAAGGGACGTGTCTCTATTCTTGTTTTGCTCGATCTCAGTGCTGCATTTGATACTATCGACCATGATATCTTATTGCAAAGACTAGAGCACTTAGTTGGCATACAGGGAACTGCTTTAGACTGGTTTAGGTCCTATCTATCTGAACGCTCTCAGTTTGTACGTGTCAATGATGAATCTTCCACGCAAACCAAAGTTAGCCATGGAGTGCCACAGGGCTCAGTGCTCGGACCTATTTTGTTCACATTATATATGCTTCCGTTAGGCAATATTATAAGGAATCATTCTGTAAACTTTCATTGTTATGCGGATGATACTCAACTATATTTATCAATCAAGCCTAATGAAATTAATCATCTAAATAAAATTCAAGACTGCCTTAAGGACTTAAAAACGTGGATGACCTTAAACTTTTTGATGTTAAACACGACCAAAACTGAAGTTATTGTACTTGGCCCGAAGAATCTACGAAACAAATTATCTAAAGATATACTAACTATGGATGGCATTAATTTGGCCTCCAGTGAGACTGTAAGGAATCTTGGTGTTATATTTGATCAGGATTTATCCTTTAACGCCCACATAAAATCAATTTCAAGGACCGCCTACTTCCATCTACGTAACATTGCAAAAATCAGGCATATCTTGCCTCAAAACGATGCAGAGAAACTAGTCCATGCATTTGTTACTTCAAGGCTGGATTATTGTAACTCTTTATTATCAGGGTGTACCAAGAAGTCAGTCAAGTCGCTTCAGCTGATTCAAAATGCTGCAGCTCGTGTACTAACCAGAGTTAGGAAAAGGGACCACATTACTCCTGTTCTGGCTGCCTTACACTGGCTCCCTATAGAACACAGGATAGAATTTAAAATTCTTCTTCTCGCCTACAAAGCCCTTAATGGGCAGGCGCCATCTTACCTTAAAGAACTCATTATACCCTACTGTCCTACTAGGGCATTGCGTTCCAAGAATGCAGGGTTGTTGGTTGTTCCTAGAGTCTCTAAAAGTACAATGGGAGCCAGAGCCTTTTCTTATCAAGCTCCACATTTGTGGAATCAGCTTCCAGTTTGTGTTCGGGCGGCAGACACCCTATCCGTTTTTAAGAGTGCGCTTAAGACCTTCCTTTTTGATAAAGCTTATAGTTAGGGCTGATTAGATTCAGCCCCTAGTTTTGCTGATATAGGCTTAGTTTGTCGGGGGACATCTTACTTCTTCCTTCTCTCTGTCTATACCTGTGTACTCTCATGTTCCGATTAACCCAGCTTCCCCAAATGTCTTTCTTTTTGGTGTCTATATACGCCGGGATCCGGAGTCATGGATGATCCTGCGCTCCTGTCCTGGATCGCGAGCCCTGGATCTTGAGTCGTGGCTGTGGTCCTGGATCATAGGTCCTGGATGGATATCCTCGTGGATTCATCTTCCTATTATACACACATGCATTTCCAAACATTTGGACTACCTATGTTGCAAATGTATTATCTTTTCAATTTACACACGGCATCTATTGCACGTCTGTCCGTCCTGGGAGAGGGATCCCTCCTCTGTTGCTCTCCCTTAGGTTTCTCCCATTTTCCCCTTTAAACTGTGGGTTTTCTCCGGAAGTTTTTCCTTGTACGATGTGAGGGTCTAAGGACAGAGGGTGTCGTATTGTCATACTGATATTTTGTACAAACTGTAAAGTCCACTGAGACAAATGTAACATTTGTGATATTGGGCTATATAAATAAAGATTGATTGATTGATGATTGATTGATGACTTTCAAAGAGTAAAGCAAGCACTGCTGAATAAAGTATGATTTTATCTTTTACGAAACGTGTTTTTTCATATGGAATGCAGTTGGAGGTCAACCAATCACAGAGCTTGAGGACTGATCACGGGGTTTGTCAAGCTAAGCACATGGTGTAGTCCCAAACGATAGCTGAGGATTCTGGGTAGTGTAGTGTCTTCTGCCATCCAAAAACTCCGAAAAAATATTAGTTTCTCCTAATCGAAGGGCAAAAATACAAAAGCATTGCACACAATTTAAACCAATCAATGTTGTGTAATTAACAAGGATAATCTGGTGTTTTTTAGTTGATGAGTAGTTCAGATATCACTGTAAAATCAATCGACAGTAAGGAGAATACTTACTTCCGGGTGTAAAATTATCCGTTATCCAATGGGAATGGACGCTCGTAATACAATAAAGGGGACATGATCATTATCTTTTAAATAACGTTAACTAAAGGGAATCTATTTGACACAGCTGAAGCTCTGGCCTTCCTTAAAAACTAACTAATTTAATAAAAATCACAGTTGTATTACACACAATGCACTGTTTTTTGAGAACAAAAATTCGTAACTAATGTAATTTTTACATTCTGACGAAAAATAAAAATTATTATGAATACAAATAAAATAAAAGAAGCCTCCCGTGAGTTACTACAAGCTATAAAGTAGATTTTAAAAACGTTTTATAGAATAAAAGCTCACTGCGGGACGTTGTAGAAATGCGTGTGTGCACCACGACAAAGGAGCCTCATTCACTTTACATTGGGGTTTTTTGCGTGGTGCCGACACGTAAATGTAGCAGAATGCGTGACTCCACCACGCAATGCGGTGTTAAGGAGTCGTGGTGGAGTCACGCATTCTGGTGAGATCAGGTTGGTTTAAATCAGCACTGGTAGCGATATTTTATACTTCATGCTATCTGCACAAACCATATCATATGAAAAGCTGAGAGTCCACAGATTATATTGGTATAAATTTCATCCGATCAAAACTCACTGTTCTACATGATAAATAAAAGAACATTGTACCTTGAAAATTAATAGCGGGTAAATTTGACCCGTTGGCGGTTTTAGGTATACAGGGACCTCTGGCGGTTCTAAGTGTTAAACATCCATTGCAAGACCGTGGTGTAATTCGCATCATATCCTTACACCTGCTCGCTTTACACAGGTGCCAGCCTCGCATAAACCAAATGGAGTGTTTCAGTAAGTGAGAACATGTCAATAATAAACGTGTCAATAAACATCAGGTTTACAAGTGTTTCCTGACTCCTCTCGTAAAGTGCCTGATCCCTGCAGCAGCTTCACATTATAGCTCATCAAACTCAAGCGATACGGATCATGAAACATTACCATGACACTGCAACCTAATATAAAAAAACATTATTTCAGAGGACACTATATGTGTAAAAAGCGATATGTGTTTGATTGTAAGGGTTAGGTTTCCCTGTGAATCCTTATAGGAATATAACTAGACTTGATTTAGATCATTCTCACTGTGTGTACTGGCCACAGAAAGTGGATACAAACAGTTCCTTTGCAGCTGTTCCCGGGTAAATGAAGAGAGAATAAAACAAACACTTTTCATCCGGCCGTGTAAATGTTTGTATTTGAGAGATCATGCATGACTCACATGCAGTGCAACGCTGCAGATCCTGAAATGGGACCCAGGGACCTCCGGTGACCCCTGGGAGTGGCAGCATGGAGAAATAGTTCAAATTCATCGTCTGGTAGCTGATCGGATGATTTACTCTGCTTTTAGTGTTGCTTTCCAGGAATGTAACCCATCTGTGAGAGGAATGAAAGGAGACAGTCTTCTCTGATGTGGTTTATTGATATCACATGTTATCAAATGGTAGTCTGTGGCCTCATGTATCAGTTTGGGATTTTAAACGTTAAGAAGCCCATGCTTGAGTCTGTCAGGATTCTGCAGGGAGAGACTTTTCTATATTAACAAGAAATGTCCCCAAAAATCTAACAAAACAATAAAAACAAAAGATAATCACACTGAAACAGACCGAACAATCAAACCAATGCATCCTGATGAATACACAAGTTATATGGTCTAATATCAAACATTAAAGATGTAATTAGATTAAATATGTAAAAATAGCTATAGAAAATGTTAAATTAAAAAAAAGCTTTATCCTTCATATATATATATATATATATATATACATTCATGTGTGGACAACTGACTGACTGAAAAATTACAAATACATATTATTTGAAACTCTCTAAATGCTCTTTTTAATAAAAAGAAGAACAAACAAAAAACACTTTTAAATTAGATAAACAAATAAATAAAATAAACATCTTAATCTTTCAAAATAAACGTTTTCCTTAGAACAAATCTGTTTAGGTATATATCTGTCTGTTACATCATCCAAATAAAAACTGTCTTCATTTGAGTTCATTTCAACTCTATGGAAGAGGATTGGGGCCAAATGCAATACAAGAAGGGACCAAATGTGAATTTATTTTCTGATTTCTGAATAGGAATTCTGATGTTTTGTCATGTATACTAAGCCAAATTCCTCGTATGTCTTAACCTATTTGGCAACAAATCTGTTTCTGATATTGATTATCTTCCACAACCCCCAATAAACTTCTAATACATGAAAAAACCATCTTAGAACTTTGATCAAATCAATAGATTTTCAGGGAAGATGCATTAGATCCTTTCAAAAATTAAAAATGTCCCACAAACATTATCATAATAGTAATAACTGTCTGTAACATCCGCCGATTAAAAAATGTCTTTATTTGAGTTTATTTCAACCCCACCCAAATGCAAAAATAAAGTGATCTTTTTTTCTGGGAGGGGGGGGGGGCGGGGTGATACTTTGTGGACATTGCGCAACAAGTCCAAGGGCGCAAGAAGTGGGTGATAAGAGTGTGGCACCGCGGCATGCAGGAGCTCCAACAGGAGGCGGATTGTTACTGGAGGATCACTTTCTACCTACACATCCCACCATTTATCTCCCACGTGGAGAGGATGTGTCGCACTGAAGTTGATCCGGACTTTTAAAGCGCGCGCCTGGAAGTTTTCCAGCATGACACAGCAAAGAGAGAAAGTGTTACGAGACAGAATGTTAGATATTCAGCGTGTCACACCCCGGATTATTTACTTCCCATTCCTGTTTGATCGTAAAAGTGGGGACGCAGCAGGTGATCGCTGAGATTTTGGACCTCGATCACAGGCGGATTAATGTGAAATGGTCCCGATTTGTCTCAGGAGCTGGGAGGATATAACCTGAACGAAAAAGGAATCGGAGTCCACCATGAGTGCGCTGGTTCTGCTGTGCGTAATAGCCGGGTTGTTGCGCTCCAGCCTGGGCAACAGGAACTGTCCGGACCTGATCGTGGAAAGCTGCCACTGCTCCGCTGAGAGGTCCAAGCAGCTGAGCCGGCAGCAGGTCCGGGTCAGGGTGGTTTGTGACGATGTGGAGCTGATGGACACCCTGCAGCCCAGCTTCCTGCCCAACAGAACCGTGTCCCTGTGAGTAGATAAACACACGGTACTGCCAAAACCCCTCAGAGACATGGGTTCTATACTGAAGTAAAAGTACTGAGACCACTGCCTGAACATACTATACTCTATTACAACATTCAAAATGCTACTTCAGTAGTTTGATTATCAGCTAAATATACGTTTGGGGTGAATTGAACAAAGTACATTTACAAAAGTATTTTACTAGTGGTGGAAGAAGTACTCAGATCCTATACTTAAGTAAAAGTACTGATACTACAGTCTAAACATACCCCATTACAAATTCAAAATGCTACTTCAGTAAAAGTACAGTTTGATTATCAGCTAAATATACTTTTCGGGGGAGTTTAACAAAGAACATTTACAAAAGTATTTTACTTAAGTAGTTTTCGTAGAGAAAAAAGTACTCAGATCCTATACTAAAGTAAAAGTAATCATACCACAGAATACTCTGTTACAAGTAAAAGTCCTGCATTGACAATGGTATGATGAGAAACATTTTAGTTTTTGGTGTAAAAGTTTTTGGTGTAAAAGTATTCATTCTAAACAATGGCCTATTTCAGAATAATATAAGGTAAATAAGTATTATCAGCTAGATGTACTTCAGGTACTTCAAAAGTAAAGGTATACTTGTTATGCAGAAAGGATCTTTGCATAGTATTATATTATTTAGCGCTTTCATACCGGAGTACTCCTTAGTTCGCGCGAACCTTTTCACCCCCAGATCGTCCCTGCTAGCGAGGTAGTACTTTCCTGGGGATGAAATGCTTCGTGGGTGTGTCGGCCACGCTAACAATTGCTGATTGGCTGGGTGAATTGCAAACCACGCCCCGTAAAACTCCGACATTTTTTGTGAAGCCACCATTTTATTTGTTTGCATTAGCCCAGCGCACCAACAGAGAGAGACTAACTTATCGCAACACAAAATAAAACATGGGAGCGAACAGACGCCTCATGTACCGCATGAACAGACGCGTCTGTTCGCTCCCATGCTTATGGCAGTATATGCCGCGAAATTGTGCGGCCTGCCAGTAAACCCAAAGCAGAAGAAGAAGTGACGTGAGCGGCTTCATTTTCCTAATCCTCCCTCTGGGATTTATTCCAGTGAGAATGCGATCTACTAGGACCGTTCGAGGGACTAAAGAGTACGGGAGGAACAAGTACCGGGGACAAGTACCGGCTAAGTACTTGGTGTGAAATAAGCTATAATCAGAGGTGGGAGAAATACTTAGATATTGTACTTAAGTTAAAGTACAAGTAGGCTACTCAGATATTGTAGTTCAGTAAAAGTAGAAGTACTCTGATCTTGTACTTAAGTTTAAGTAGAAGTACCAGAGTGTAGGAATACTCTGTTTGTCTGTTACATGTCAAAGTTCTGCTTTGCAAATGTTCTGCAGTACAAAAGTATTAGCATCAAAATATACTTAAAGTACCAAAAGTAAAAGTAGTCATTGTGCAGGTCCATTTCAGAATAATATATATGATATGTTTTATAATTGTTGATCATTAAAGGGGACCTATCATGCAAAATGCACTTTTTTACGTTTTTTATACATAAATGTGTCCCCAGTGTGTGGAAACTCACAAAGTGTCAGAAAATAAAACCCTCTCTCTTTTCCTCCGTACCCACATCTCTAAAAACGGGGGAACAATGGAGCTGATCCAGATTTGCGTCCCATATGATGTAATATCTGAAATGTGGGCTGGCTTTACACCCACTATCAGAAAGTTGCTATCAGAAACAATGCCCGACTGTTTTGGATGTAATATGGTCTTTGTTTACATTAGCAAGCATCGCTAACACTCAGAGCTAACCTGTACTGGACAGAGTATATGTTAAAAAGCAGGAAATAAAAAAAGGAACTCACCTTGTGGTAAACCCGCAAGAGAAAAAGCAGTTGAGCTCCATACTGTTTCAGAAATAATCTTTGAAGTGGTTTGGAACATGATGGCGTTTAATCACGGCAGAATTTAACTGTATCTGCCGTGTAATTCTGAGCAGGCATTAGCTCCACCTTCTCTTTTTTTTTTTTTTTCAAGCTAAGGACCCTGTTGGGAAAATACTGAATGTACTCTTCTAATATCTTAGTAGCACATGATAACTAAGGCCCTATGTAGCTGTGTACGTAACAGGATGTATGATTACCTAGAAGAGCGTCAGGACACACTGTTTTAGGCATATGATACCTATGTGTCAACGATTAACATGATGATTCAGCCTCTATGGAGATAGACATATGACTGTCATGTTTATTGCTTACGTGGGGCTAAGCTAATCTGAACTAAAACATTGAATACTGCTTTGAACCGGTATTCTGCATCTTGTGACTGTAACACTCTCTTATATATAAGCATGTCAACGACACTGTTCTAATAACTAGTTTTACCACGCAGCTCTGTGTGATGACTACTTCCATTCTTGCAAGGATTATAAATACATGTATCCTGATATTGAAGACCAAGCCTGTGACGAATGATATTTTTCCTAACAGACCCCGAACCTGCAGTTCTCTAACAGGGACAAGGGGATATGCCCCTTTTCCACCAAACCGGATCTGGTTTTCTGGTGCTGAACCGGTTCTTCTCTGTAGCACCACTTGTGTTTCCACCGCTCAGAGCTCTAGTGGAGCTCGAGTGAAGCTGCGTCATTGCGTCATCGTTTACGTCATCACATAAACGCTTACGTGCCTTCTTATGACACCCACACGGCACGGAAATCCCTCATATCGACAACAACAACAATGATCCCGGTAGTCTTTCTCAAGTTTTTTTAAGTTGTTGCTTATTTGCTCCAGAGTCCGGTTGTATCCAGCGGGGCCAACTCCCGCTGCAGCTGCTGGAAAATAGCTTTAGACCGCGTTGTGCCGTCCAACTTCCTCTGTACCTCTTGCGTTGACCAAAGCCCGAGGAGGTCATTTGTCTCTTCAGCGGTCCACTGCTGCTTACATTGACTGGCATCCATCCTGGTTCGTAGTTGTGTGTGTTGCTGAACAGAATTTGCGGCATTTTGTTGTTGTTGATCAGGTTAATCCCCCGCCTCCGACGTAAGCATGAAGTATTGGTTCTTGGTTCTTGCCGGGCAGCCGAGAACCGGTTTTCGGTGCTTAGAGCCGGCTCCGCTGTGGTGGAAACAGGAAGAACCAGAGCTAAATCAGGCTCTAGCCCGGAACTGGCTCTAGAAGTGGTTTGGTGGAAAAGGGGCATATGAGGGATGTCTAAAATGCATGATCTGTTTGGTATTTTGAGCAAAACACATCATATACATGTTTTTTATATATTTTTATATATCTGAGACCCATAATATATGCCTAAAAATAGCATAATAGGAGCACTTTAAGGTGTTCTCAAAGCTGGTAAAGGTGCAGCTAGTTTGAATGACTTTGTATACTGCAGGGTAGTGCTGTGCGATTATGGCAAAAATCATAATCACGATTATTTTGGTCAATAATTGATATCACGATTATGAAATACGATTATTCATTGACTTTGAAAACAACCATTTATTGAACTTTAAAACAAATACAAATAATAATTTGAACAGTATATTTTTAACTGTTGATTACCCAGAACGTATAATTCAACTGAAAAACCAATAAATAAAATAAATGATACATTTATATTTACATAAATAAATAATAATCAAAATAATAAATACCAATAAACAAGATCAACAAATATTTTGGAGCGCACTTCAACAAGCTACTAAACATATATAAATATGATAAATACAAATAAATTTGACTAAAATAAATCGTTTTTTTCCCGATTGTTTTTGTAATTGTGGCAGGCCAAAATCGTAATTGTGATTTAAATACGATTAATTGCACAGCCCTACTGCAGGGTAGCTTGTGAATTTACTCCAGGTGTAACTAAAGTCTGATTTAAGAGTTGATTATATTTCACATCATTAATCCAGATCTGTAAAGTAACCTAAGGTAATAAATACATGTAAAGGAGTAAAAGTACACCATTTACCTCTGAATTGTATTGGAGTAGAAGTGCATAGCAACACATTGAAATACTCAAGTAAAGTCCCTCACAATTGTACCCGAGGTACAGTACTTGAGTGAATGTACTTAGTTGCTTTACACCACTGTACCAAAGCCTAAACCTACTCCATTACAAGTAGAAGTTCAACGTGTTACTTCAGTAAAAGTACACAATTATTATCAGCTTAATGTACTCAGGTGTAAAAAGTACATTTACTAAAGTAATGTACTTAAGTACTGTTTTGACATACTTTCCTTGTTGGAAGAAGAACTCACAGTCTTTACTTAAGTAAAAGTACAAATATTATGGTCTTCAAATACTTCACTACAAGTAAAGTCCTGAATTCAAACATTTGCTTGAGTAAAAGAGTATTTGAATCAAAATACTTTGTATTTGTTAGTATGATAGACACGATGCATATTGTAGTTTTTACTTCACTACAGTTTGTGATACGCATATATAGCTACTAGATACATTTTACATATAAAATCACTTACTTATATGATATGATGCAGTACTAATTTACTCAATAGTATCCTCATTAACAAATTAGAACATTCAAACAATTTCAAATGTATGCATTGTTGATTAAAAACTATTCTATGTTAAAGTAATACTGTGTAAAGAGTCATTATGCAAACTGAGTACTTATGCTTTTGATACTTGAAGTACATTTGGGTGATTATACTTCTGTACTTCTACTTAAGTAACTTTTCCAATTCAGCACTTTTAGTTGTAATGGAGAATTTTACTGCTCTATTTTTACTTTCACTAAAGTAAAGACCCATAGTACTCTTTCAACTTCTGGGTATCAAAAGTAAAAGTACTCATGTGCAGATAATGAAAGTTATATTATATATATATTCCGTTTTTATCATTAGATAATACATAACAAAATACAATAGCACAATTGGCTAAAATTGTGCAAATTAAAACATATTTATACTGTATATATATACTATATATAGTACTATATATACTGGAAGGTCACCAGTTCAAGTCCCGGCAAGACCAAGTGC